TATATATATATATATATATATCGGAGAGAAGAGAAGTTAAAGTGAATTAACTTGAAAATTAATGCCTCGTCCTAATCTAGGCAAAGGAATATTCAAAGGAAGTACCTTGGAATTCTCAGCAATTCCAAGGGACTGATGAATATTGTAGTGTCACGATGATAGTATCCTCAGTAATGCCGTGGGTCACTGATGGAACAGCCACGCGACACAGAGAGTGTTAATTTTTTACGTGGGCCAGGGAGAGTTCATTGTCCTGTTCGTCGAGTGCTTCGCTCGTCGGTGTGGCACGGTCTGGCCAGACCAAAAAAGGACACGTCAGACTAGGCGAATAGTAACAAAGTCGCGAGGCGGTAAAATTACCGATATTCGTTTCGGTGGATTACGGTAAGAAGAATTGTTTCATTGTTTCGAGATTAATACCGGGGGCGACGAGTATCGTCGATACGTCGATCCGGTAAAAAGGGAATTAATTCGATCATGGCCGGAGTTTTACGTTTACTCTCTCTCCCCTTCTCTGTCTCTCTCCTTCCCTCTCTACTTCTGTTTACTTTTTGTAGTCTTCGACTCAGTGGTTACGCGCGATGTAAGTTTCATGAAGTCCAATGAAACGAGGCGACCGCTTCCTACACTGCTCGCTCTGTCTCCGAAGCTTCCCCGCGGAGTTCAACTTGTTTACACACGGGAATGCAAAATTCAACGGGCGAACGAGGGAGCGTTCCTAGAGACCTCTCTCCGAACCCCTATATGGTTAATTAGTTGTCTGGGATCATTTTTGTGGAATTTAATGGGATCGCGGGAAAAGCAAGCCTGCTCGTTCTCTCGGTTCGTTCGTTCTGTTTTTCGTGGGATTTTTTTCTCGTGTTAAATAAAGTATATCCATCTCTTTTTCACGACCGTATTTCCTCTTTAAAGAACAATTGTCAATGTGTAACGTGCGAATGTGTAGTTCGTGAAAGTCCTGCCTTCGTCAACGTAAATGTTGATACGATTCGAACGAAATGACAGTGCATCGATCTCTTGGACTATAGAGGTTAATATTTTGGCATTTTAATTTGCCACGCGAGTGTGGTGTTAATCCAAGTGTCAGATCTAAAGATCCCGAAGAGACGGATAATGTCAGTTAAGAGGTAAATATAATTAATTCAGGACATATTCGTATTTGTATTCCTCGATAAGGTCATACGGAAATAACGTCATACTTACTTAGTCTATATGATATAACCGGATATATCTCGTGTCTCGCTACAAATATATAGTCGAGCGGTTGTCAACGAGAATAAAATAGATCCCTCTATGCGTTAAATCAAATAACTTTTACGCCGGGTAACGTTTGTCGGTTTATTGAAGATCATCATCCGAACATATTTATAAATTCTACGTTTTACAATTTCGCTGACAGACCGATTCCACGCGTCGCGCCGTCCAATGGGGAAACGAATCGAGTCATTTTCAAGGATGTCATTTGTTCTAACGCTTTAACCACTTTCGAGCTGCGACTCGAAGTTACCCAACGATTCCATTTCCGTATCTGCTGCTTCTTTCATGAATCATCATGGCGGAAGATTATTCTTGCCAACCACCCGGCTGACGTCTTTCCTCGCATTGCCGTCCTGCATTTACCGAGACTCATTAATGATAAACGGTTGGAACATTTGCGAATTACCGAAGTGCCGGACCGCGCCATCGCGCTGATATCGCGAGATTCATTTGCCAGTTAGAGATAACGGGGTTCCGTTTCGAAAATTTTATTTCGACGACCTACATACTTGGACGTTCATTGGAGGCTCGTTCGCGAGATTTAAATTTTCTGCCGGCTCGCGTTTCAACGAAACGTTTAAAACGTTCTGCGGCACCGATTGTTCGCTTTACACCGCGAAACATCGCCCCGCCGTGGAAAATTGATGTCCTCATATATGCGAAAGTATTCTTGTTAATCTAGTTGGGAACGCGAATTTCCATTACCCTATTTCAGAGCGAACCGCATAGATATCGTTACGATCCCCGGGGCAAATGGTATTAAAAAGTTGTTCGATCGTTTATTTTTGCCAACGACCGGAACGCTGGCAGACGTCGAAAATATATTATTTTTGCTCTCTAATCACGTTCTACGTGCCGCGCAACGCGCAAAGAAAACAGAAAGAAACCCTCGGAAACATACGTTTAATCACAGTTAAACTGGAAACGCGTTTCCATGTCTCGCGGTTTATTTTCGTCCGGGACGCGAAACGTCGACGAATCCGTTTCACCGCGGCTCGTACGTTACCAGCTTCTGCCATATATAGATTCCGCGGCGCGGTATCGCGGATGCTTTCGTATCAGCGAGGGAGTAGGAAAGAGCCGCGTCTCTGCAGACATACCGAAGCGAGACGGATGCAACGCCCTCGTTTCCTTTCGTTCCTTCTCCCTCGCGAGATTTTTATTTCGCCTTCTTCTCTATCTCTAGCGATATCTATATCGCTAACCGCGCGTCGTCCCGATGAATATTTATACGATATATTCCGGCGGAAGAGAGGAAATGCACCGAAGTCAGGTTGCGACGGTGCAACAACCTCCTGAAATCGAGTTCCGCCAATACAAACTTTAAATATACATACGTACATACGTATTATATTCGGCTGTATCTGCAAAGAGTAGTTTCCTCGAGAGTCAACTCGAAATATTCTCCTGTATAATAAATATCTCGTGGCTGGTGTTGCTACGTTTCGTACCAATTTTCCACTCAAAGTGTTTTTCCACTTCCTCACGATCGGTTGAGACACAATGTGACAACGAGTCTAGCTGTTTCACTTTAACACTTCAACTGTATTTCGTTTTACAGAGGGCAAAACGTGTCGATTCTACATTTACGCAGCACGTCGGATCCTTGGGAGGTTGGCTCACAAGGTTCTTCGTACAGCGTCGGTAGCAATAAAAGTCAAAGCGGCGGCAAAGGGAAATCAAGTGGAAATGCACGAGGCTCGTATACACGTGGCACATCGATACCGTCGTTGAAACGCCACGATACAACGGCATCGGCGTCATCGACGTCCAGCTTGAAGCAGCATCGACAGGACAGCCACGGACAGGCAAGTACCAACCGTTCGTCGAAGATAAAAGATCGCTTTACTGTGCCGTATTTCTTGCGGGAATCACGTACAATACGTAGCTCGATATGGTATCGCGAAACTCTCCGCTTCTCAGACGCTGTAAAATTTTCCGCTTTTTCCTTTCATTTAAATTTCAAATAACTCTGTCCGCGTTGCGCGCGCTTTCTTTCGAACAATCGCGAACTTCGACCCGGGGCTAAACGTTTTAACGATCTGAGAAAAATAGACTTTAAAACGCAGAGAAAGAGACGGGAAAGAAGTTTGAAATTTCATTAGAGCTTGTTAGAAATATTTCGATGAATTTACGGACAGGTGACAAGCACTCGTCGACGAGAATCCTCGAATTCGTTCCTGTCGGGTAACAGCGGCACCTCCGGCGAACTTTTCATCAGCGGCGACTGCAGCAGGGAATTGTCGCCGGTCCGATGGTGCGACAGAGAGGTGGACGGTGTTTACTTGGGTCGATCGGGTTGGGTTCAGGTACAACAAAGATCCCTGGACGAGAACCGACGGATAAACTATGAGAGTAGCTTGGTAACGGCGACCACCGGCACTTTACCGTTGCCGAGACGGGCCATGGTGAAATTGGCTGACTATCACTGCAACAGCGAACCAGGAAAATGTCCCGAAGAATTTTTACGATTGGACAACCAGAGACCGGACTATCTGGCTCTGCATGGTCAGGACTTCGAGTCCGTAGCGAGCAGCACTTGCACGTCTCCGCACAGTATCCCCGAGTCTTACTCTCCACCGTCGATCACCCCGATAATCTCACCTCCGCCTGCTTTCCAAGACGTGGTCGGCAAAAAGACCTCCTCGAAACATTCGTCCGGGCGTAACAATTACGGAAAGCCGCCGTTCTTACCACGGTCCAACGCTATAGTCGACAGTGACATCATCAGTCCTCCGCCTTCGCCTCCGCACCAAATGAACTGGAGTTCCTTGCCAGCTTCCTCCCGGAAGTCGTCGAGCATGCCGTCCAGAC